CGGTGTCACGCATTTTCTTCCATTCAAAGTATGTGTGACCATAACGCAAATAATAACACCATCCGCAAAGAAAATTATCAACAATCAACGCGAATTTTTAGCTACTTCAAACTTGCAATTTCTTAAACTAGAACTTAATGGGCTCTAAAACTGCACACCTAGATTTTTCCTAAAGTTCTTATTAGAAAGGTTTGTGTTGTTTTAAAATTTTTTTGAATTTTTCTATTTTTTTACAAAGTTTGAAATTTGGACTTATGTGGTTTTTGTTAGATAGTGAGTTGAATTTTTATAAAAAAAAAATTGCCGAAACTGGTCATAATTCCGTGTCCCTAGTATTTTCCACATGACTGTATGTGGGCGTGTCCAACCCCGCCCACTTTTACATATTACAGTTTTTACTCTTAACAGACTTTAGGGTAAAAATTTTATACCGATATGTCCATTAAAAGTATTTTTGGCCGCTCTCCCCATATAAATGCAACCACTGTGCAACGCTGACGCTTTTGTTTAGGTATGGCAGTTACAAATGACGGATTTCGGAGTAGGTCATCCAGTTTTTGCAATAGTTAATATTTTTTTAATTTTGTTAAGTTCTTAGCATACTATTTTAGTATTCTGCTGGCGGAGGGAGGATCTGAAATACTTTAGCAAAATAAGGCAAATAATACACATACATAAATTTATCATTTTACTCAGCATTAAAAGCTCTATTCATCCCTTTGGCCTTTTTTAGGCAAGACTACCTTGAGCTGCATGTATTCCATATTTTAGGCTGTTGCACGCTTTTTTTTAATCGGTATCTATTAATACTTAAAAGTATCGTCTGAGAAAATCAATATACTTGCCACCAATCCTTTGGAAAACAATTTGGGCCGACTATTTCATAACTTTGCAGTGTCACTTTTAAAATATACGAGTACGTCCTATGAGTTTTCCGATTTTTGAGGAGACTTTGCTTCTCGAATAAGAAAAAACCGGACACTCTAAACTGTTTAATAAAAGCTGAAAATTTGTATGCGACAGGTATAATAAAAAACAGGGATGGAATTGTCAGACAGCGAAATATAGGGACACGTGGGATCAGCGCTATTTCATACTTGTCAAAAAAATTTCGTGAGCCAAAGTGTTTTCTCAAGGCTGAAATTCTCCAAGATAATAACCAAACCTATAAAGTTATTAAAGGACACAGTCAGACTCATTTGTGATAGGACCACACGTGGCCACGTCAGCCAGCAATATATAGAAGTAATAGATAGACTTAAGCAAATGATACCTTATTACGGTGCTCCGCTAGTGCGTTGCGCACCAATTCATGTTGTTTTTGCAGGTCATCGGTTCGTTTGTCGTAGGTCTGCTTCAAACGTACTCGTTCTGCCACACCGCGTTCTACCACTGAGCTGGCCACTTCACGTTTCATTCTGCCAGAGTAGAATTATATAATTTGGTTTATAACACTGAGCCACTTTATGCTTTATTACCTAACCAACTCATCGCGATCCCGATGTACGGAAGACAAATTCTTTACCTCAGTTCGTCGTGCCTCCTGCAATTGATGCATTACTTCAGAAGTTACTCGATCCAAGGACGCTTTAAGTTGCTTAATTTGGTTTGCTTGTGAATTTCGCAACACCTTTTCCGCTAACGCATAGATTACCTCATGGTACTTCTCCTGAATATCACGCATCTGCGAAGAATACTCCCTGCAAGAGGAAAGCATTCTCTCCTGTTGGGAGCGTGTTCCCAGCGATGGACTTTCTCCTTCAATACAAGTGGCCCCGTCAGTACAGACTTCATTTATATTCCCAATATCCGGCAAACAAGGCGGCACCTCCGCGCCCGTATCACTAAAAGAAATACAGTTACTACTTTTAATGTGAAAGCCATTGAATGCTCAAGGCGCGAATGTATACACACTTACAGACTTCTATTGCTGAGCCGTTTCTTTAGCTTGGTGGCAATGTTAAACATTGCCTTCTTGTTTCCATCTATTGGACTAGACTTTTGCATTGCGATTTTGATCTTCTCCTTATCATGTTTTTTACGGAGCGATTCCAATTTCTTTTCCATTTCAAACCGCTTCTCACGCACCATCTTGTGGTCTAATATCTTATCCAATGGCTCTGCATGCACTAAATCTAAATCGAACTGTGACGATTCCACTTGCCGCATAGATGTTTGCGCAGTCGACTCGAGCGAATGTTGGTGTGTGAACCCTGGTCCAGCTGTTGTGATCGCATCTGCGGTGTCTTGCTCAACTCCTGAAGATACTTCTACATTGGTTACGGTAGCGGCTATGATGCTGGGTCGGTGCTTGGGGCTCATTGTTGTGGACTCAAATGGACGAAGCTCTTTTTTCTGACCACCTACTTGTACAAAAACGACTTTGTTTGTCAAGTTCAATGGACGCAGGCGAAAATGTAACGGGGTAGCATGCAAGCGGAGGTTTTTTGGTATGCAAGTAGTGTTGTTATGTGGCGTGAGGTTAGAGTTTCGATAATTAGTTATTGATAGAGATTGGAAATGTTGAAGTGTCCAGTAACCAACAGAAGACGGAAGTTTATTGAAATAAGTAAAAAAAGAAACAAAGCATAATCTAGTTCAGGTAACTAAATAAAGAATAAATAAATTCAATGTATTCTACTTAAAATCAGTACAAAAAATATAAGTGGGTATAAGTTTCTCACAATGATGAATTACAACGTGAGCTAAGCCAATGCTTTTGATTTCATGCTCATATGTGCACCTACATACCCTGGTTCAAACATTTAAAACTTACATGAGTTGATATCCTCTGATGAAATCGGTTCCGTGCCCTCGGTGAGCACAGCCAATTGTTTGTCACGTTTTTCAAGTTCACTTTGGTATTTAATTGGATTAGCTAATGCCTCTGCAAAATTCGATAGATCGTCTGGCACATAGTCCTTAACCACGATGTACAGAAAGAGGGATGCTAGTGTTATTGGTTGACCCAATTCGGTCCGTAGATTCACATGACGATACCCAGGGCACAACCCAATGACGGGAAGAACACGATGTCCTAGAAACTTCCCTCCCTCTTCATAAGCCGCAACGCGTATGTTGGCCAGTTCGGGTAGCACTACCTGCAAATAAAGATGCATATAACACTATAGGGAAAATCTCAAAGTTTGAAATGACACAAAAACGCCGAAACACATAAGCTTAACTTTGAGTAGATTACGAATCTGTACTCAGTCTTTCTAGAACAGGTAATGTTTGCAAGATATTTTTATTTTTATGGAAAAAAAATCAAATTTTAACTGGGAAACATATAAAAAAAATTACTCGGAATTTAGGAAAAGAACACACCAAGTTTTTTTTTGCGTGCCGGTGTTAGGATTAGTGAACTGGGTTGGCTATTAGCTAGGAGATAGTACATATATGTAGGTATGCAGGTCAGTGGTGCACAGCGTTGGCAGAGCTCCCAATACAAGCAAACTATTTTTGTATCTGTATGTGTGTACTCTGCAAAACAGCTCGCGCATGTGATGCTTACAGCATGAAGTACAAACGCAAACTGACCGGCTGCTAGCGGCGCATAAGTTCGGTAGCTGCGCACACACGACTTGTGTGTGAAAGCCGAGTAGCTCCCGGAGACTCCCGTGTGCATCACTGATGTAGGTACATATTTTTCAATGAAAAATAAAATCACTCGTAATGCAAAGGATAAGTTGGAATTAGATAAAAAATTTGATTTTGATCCTTGTTTTTAAAAACTATGCAAATGGGACTTTTACAGGCTTATTCTGTATGTTGCCGCCGAAACCAGCCCTAATGCTTCAATCATAAATGCGACCTTTCGTATGCACTGAAGTTTGCTTTCGTACTACTATTCGGAGCAAAGTAAGAGGACGAGAAAAGACAAGAGTTTTTAAAGCGCCACGCTGTAATATTTTATAATTAACTTTCATAACTAAATTTGTTAAACAAACGTTATAGCTGCTATTGAAACAAAATCGTTTATCTTCTTTGCAGATAATAAATCTTTAAAAACTTTTTGAACACTTGTTGGCACTTGGATTATTACTTGGAGTCGCGTTTATTGTTCTGCACGTACACGTGCCAAAGGCTCTTGTATAAAAAGGCGACAGTGACGAAGACGTTCGCTAGAATACATTAAGCGAAATAAGCAGCATCCGTTCTGAAAATAGCAATTGCACCTCAGTTTTTCGAGCTCCACACTATAGCGCTGCAGCAGACATGTGAATTTGTAAGGTCTGTGGAAAGAAGGCAGATAAATCGGTTGTGGAAGACTGGGTGCAGTGCGATGTATGTGAACATTGGTTTCACTTCGTATGCGCTGGTGTAGACGAAAGTGTGCAGCGTCGTGATTGGAGTTGTGCTTCCTGTGTTAAGGAAACGAACATCAGAGGACCAGGGCATAAAAGCACAATGCAGCAGACAGATGCATCGGCTGATTCATCATCAGAAGCGACACAATCTGAACCAGTCGCACAGCAACTACCCAGTTTACAGCCAGATCTGCGCTTTCACCTTCGCAAGTAGCAGCCAGGCAAGCCATACCGAAAGAGTTGCCAATCTTTATCGGCGATCCGGAAGAGTGGCCGATGTTCATCAGTACGTTTGAGCACTGTACATCCATAGCAGGGTTTTCGAATGTGGAAAATAGGTTGCGTTTACAGCGGTGTCTTAAAGGTAAGGAACGTGAATTGGTCAAGGACAAGTTGCTCCTTCCAACGATGGTTCCCGATATTCTCAACGCGCTAAAGATATTTTTTGAGCAGTAATTCAGCGAATGGCTATATCGTATAGCCGAAACAGCATCGACGGTAGTATCACCTGCTGTCATCTACAAAACAAACTCCGTGAACACCCACAGCAGCAGCAATAGTGTACAGGCAAGAAACGACATGCAACGTGGCCAGAACTGCTCGCACGCAGAGAACCTCTCTCTGCTCCAGTCAAAGCAGTATACGATGAAATGCGCGCGTGTGGTACGACTGATCACTACGTCGCGCTGTGTTCAACCTTCAAGGACTTGTCGGCAAACGAGAGGTGGCAGATGATAAAAAAGGAGAAAGCTTGTTATCGGTGTATGAAGACTCACCGCAAGGGCTGTTTCTCAAAGAAGATTTGCGGCGTAAACGGCTGTTCTAAAAAGCACCACCCACTTCTACATAGCGAGGGTAACTAAGGTACAAAGAAGGCAGAAAACGATCAGGACGTGGTAAGCACGCATCGGCTGATAACACCAGCAGTCAGTGCTTACGCATGATACCAGTGAAGCTTCATGCAGCAGGTAATACAATTGAAATTTTTGCGTTTTTGGACGAGTTACGCAGCAGCTATCCCTATTTAACGGATGTACCTTTGCCTTTGTATAATGGCATCCAACCAACGTTGCTCATAGGAGCAGACAAGTGGAAAATTTGCAGTTCCCCGCAGAATACGCGAAGGCAAGCGGCATGAGCCGATCGCTTCCAAGTGTTTGCTGGAATGGAGCATCCAAGTGACGATGCATCACTGCGAATGCCAATAGCAAAAGTTACACGACATCGTTAAAGAGAGCTTCAGATTGGAGTCAGTGAAACCACAAAACTTACGATCAAACGATGACAAACGGGCTATTGAGATTCTCGATCGAACGTGGATTAAAGTAGATGGACGATGGATGGATGGATTCGAAGTCGTACTCTTATGGCGTGACGATGACTACAGTCTACCTGGAAACTACAACAATGCGGTTAGGCGTCTCAACTGTTTAAAAAATAAGATTAAACGTGAACCCGCATTGTACGACAAAATTGATAACCAAATCCGCAATTTAATACAAAAGAATTATGCAGTTGAACTCTCGGAGACCGATATGGCAATCAACAACAAGCATATCTATCAAGGTATCTTCCAATCTTTATAGCAAAAAATCCCAACAAGCCGAACAAGGTAAGGCGTAAGACTTGTGTGGGATGCGGCAGCGAAGTCTCACGGTACAACGTTTAACGATCATTTACTTACCGGACCACACTTACTACAACATTTCGTCGAGATCCTACTGAGGTTCAGAGTTGGGGAGGTGGCAATCTGTGCGGACATCGCCGAGATGTTCCACAGAATCAACATTCGCAAAGAAGATATGCATGCGCAACGCTTCTTATGGTATGATCAAATCAATGGGCAAACGAAGGCATATGTAATGTGTGTGATGACTTTCGGAACAAGCCGCGGTCCATGCATTGCGCACTACGTCCGGAATAAAAATGGTGAACAAAATCGTCAGAAGTATCCAGGGCATATGAGGCCATTCAAAATGCGCACTATGTGGACGATTACATCGACAGCGCCGAAAATGAAGAAGCAGCATTCGCAGTAGCAGATGAAGTTCGAAATGTTCATCGAGCCGGTGGATTTAAGATCCGAAATTGGGCGTCGAATTCTCCTAATGTTCCCAGAGAGCTATCAAACATTGACCCAGCAGTGCAAAGTCCAGTCCAGTTCGGAGAGGCCGAAAAGGTGCTGGGTATGTATTGGGAGCCATATAATGATGTCTTTAAGTATATTGTTAGGATTGCTCGACAGCGGCGAGACGTCTTAGCGGAGGACGTCGTCCAAACAAAGAGAGAAGTTCTCCAGGTTCTCATGTCGATTTTCGACCCATTGGGACTAGTCTCGTGTTACAAGATTGGCTTAAAAATCCTTCTACAACGTGCATGGCGAGTCAATATTGGCTGGGATGAGGTGCTGCCAGAGGAGCTCGTCGACGGTTGGCAACTATGGAAGCGTACGCTGACACTGGTTGAAGCAATCGAAATTCCGAGGTTCTACTCTAAACATTTGGTTTCTGGCACGCAAGTAGAATTGCACATGTTTTTTGACGCAAGCGAATATGCTTACGCTGCAGTCTGTTACCTGAGGGTCCTTCGAGGAGATGTCGTCGATTTGTCGCTAGTGGCCGCGAAAAGCAAAGTCGCTTCACTTAAACCGGTTTCGATTCCGCGCATGGAGTTGCAAGCTGCTGTGATGGACGTGCGTTTTGCTCAGAGAATTATAAACGTTCCTATACTAAAAATACAAAACGTGACATATTGGTCAGATTCGAGAACCGTTTTGCAGTAGTTGAAGATGGATCCACGCAATTTTCAGCAATTCGTCATGCATCGTGTCGGAGAGATCCTTGAGAACTCATGCAGCAAACAATGGCGATGGGTTCCGACGAAATTAATCGTGGCGGACGCAGCAACCAGGGTGGAAAACCAATGAGCGGCTGCACGGTCCCGATTTCCTGTTTATGACAAGCTTCAACTGGCCCGAATTCGAGTGCAATGCTGATGACGTTGATACGACCGAGTTGCGCAAACATATATATGTGATGAGGAAAACTCCAGCCATCACCCTCAGCGTGGAATACTTCTCCGATTGGCGGTCACGACATTTGTTTTATACCTATCTAAGCTAAAGGCTAGATTACACGGCTACAGCAAGCCCAACAAGAATACACCCGAGATGATCCGCACAGCAGAGAATATTCTCATCAAGCAGGCGCAGTTTGAAACATATTTATCCGAGGTCAGTTCGCTACACGCTGGGCAATCGCTGGGTAAACAAAGCAGATTGTCTGGGCTAAATGCTTACCTAGATGATCATGGAATTTTGCGCATCCAAGGAGGAGCCAGTTCTATCGACTGCCACATGAACGCCATTGAAATTCCGCGAGAGAACCATACGACGTTTCTCATCATTAGGGCCCATCATGAAAACTTTTACTATATGGCTCACGAGACCGTCATCAACAACGTGAGAAGTTCCTACTACATACCACGTATTGGGGTATTGTACAAAGTAGTTCGACACTCCTGTCGGAAGTGCAAACTTCACTCAGTGGTACCTACACCTCAACAGATGGCACCGATACCTGCTGCAAGACTGGCCAGCTTCGCCAAGCCGTTCACTTATACCGGCGTAGACTATTTAGAAGAGATGGGTCGTGCTTTTCACGTGCTTGACTCTCAGTGCAGTACATTTTGAGATAGCCTACAGCCTGGACTCTAGTTCTTGCATCATGCGCCTACGTAATTTTATGGCAAGACGAGGCACTCCGAAAATTTAGTCCGACAATGGCACGAAT